TTTCCTTGTGTCATGTCATTTCATGTTTTTATGCTATGAAATCAAGGGGCTTTCCAAAGATGCGTACTCTAAAACTCGTTCAGATTTTTGTAGTTTAAGTTAACACACACTCAAATAGACTATACTTGCTTGTATGATTTAATGGCAAAAAGCCTAATTAGAACAATGTCCTCACAGATAGCTAGCGGTCGAATTTACCTATTTCTAAAAAGAATGTCCTACAAACAATAGCAAAAAGGTATCGGTTGTCAATTTAGTAATTCCAACATTTTGCATATTTAAATTTTCTAAGCTTTAAATGTTTGTGGGGATTTATTTTACCCAAAAGATTAGAAGATGCATGAGGTTATGCGTTTTCAAGTCATTTCGATGTTCCTAATTGAGTCGATAGTCAAAAAACTTTGGGAAAGCAAATGAAGCATGGTGTAAGACCTAAACGAGTATACAACGATATGATGTTATTAGACAGACATAATTGTTAGACAATAAAGTGAACTCATTGTGAGCACATGACAAAAATAGTACGACGAGATGTCTCACTTTTGTGCCCTAAAAGTCAAAACTCGAGCAAAATTCATTCGTGAAAGGCTCCAACAAACCATGACATCTAAAATATTGCCCGGTATCTTCATCTAGGAACCATTTTCCCTTCTCCATTTTGTGTTGATTATTTGGTTTTGTGTGAGACCAACTTAACTATTAGGCTTATATACTTTTTTTTCCTTAATATAATACTTTCATTACAAAATGTCATACTTTACCAAACAACATAAACACAAGTAACATTTTACAGCATAAATATAAAAACATAAAAAATACATACTGACCGAACAACCTAACGATTAGAGTGACACACAAGAATTTGATTTAAAGTTTTACTAAACATGGTAGAAATAAGGCATTAACAATCGCGATAACGTCAAGAAAGACCACGCATGCTTAGGGGGCTCACAGCCACCATTCTCTATTTCATGAGTTTTTTGACTTTTTTCCATAACTAATTAAGTTGTTTTTCCTATTAAATAAAAACCTGCGAAAATCATAATTGTCAGCTTTACGTATTTTTTTCTCTTTTTTTTTCCTTTTTCTTTTTCCTTGAGAAAAAATTAGATGTAATGACTAATGACCCTCATTTTCATCTTGAGCGATCAATGTGGGCCTCAACAGCTGTAAAGGATACTTGGTCATGTTCTTATTATGTCGTGGCCCAATAAGTGAAGCCGAACATCAATCGAACAGTAAGTCAGGCAAAAGCCCAGCCCAATACCGAAGCTTCATACAAACCAAAGTTAACTCCACAAGAATTACTAGCCCGACCCGAAATGAACCCCACTTGATGTTT